AGATTCAATTCAACTTTATTGTCATTACACATGAACAAGTACAAAGCAACAAATATATATATATATATATATATATATGGTATTCACATGAATATATGGCATGGTGTATACTTACAAATGGATACGTGCAATGGAATTTGTATATTATATAATATATTATGTACACAAGAAGCATGCTTAAGGTTTATGTGAACAAATTATATCATCAGAGGAAATAAAAGGTTTTTTTATGAGCACACAAATGCCACACTTAAAAATGTTGGCTAAGTTTTAGCTGAAATGACATCAATGACAAACCACTACTAATAATTAATATTATCAATATTATTCATTATTGAAATATTAACATAGATTCATTATTATTATACATAATCAAATAGCAACATAATATGTACACAATGTCTAAGTAAACAAATGTCATCAGATCAGAGGAAACTGCAGTTCTCTGTTCGTAACAACTCACAGTTAAAAATGTTGGCCAGATTAGGATATAGCTGAAATAACAACAATGACTAACTAATGGTGATAACAATAGTAGTTAGAGGGTAAACTGGGGTAATATGTCCCACTTCAAAACAGTTGTTTTATTCATTGAATGTCAATATAATATGTTCATAAGAAGTATGTTTGAGAGAACAAATTGTGCAAAGAAGAACGGCCACTTTAATGTTAGAGTATAACAGGGGTTTTTTTTGGTTTGTTTGCTTGTTTTTGTAAGCAGACCAATGCCACAGTGAAAAATGTTGGGTAAATTAGGATATAGTTATAATAACAACAATGATAAACTGATAATGATAATAACGATAAATGACGATAGTAGATTTAGGGTAAATCAGAGATATACTATATGTATATTTATATTTGGCAAAGGGATGGCTAGAAAGTAATAAATATTATAAAATTAAACGTCAAATCTTCTTCATCTTCTAGGAGAATCCTACCTGAAGAGTTCTTTAACTAAATACATACTTGTTATCTATGTATAAGATAAGAAGACTTTATTTTCAAGTTGTGATGTTGCTTTAACAATGTCTATATTCTATGTGCTCATATAGTTTTTCTGAATTCTTGATCTGCAAAGTAGTTACACTAAGCTGTCATAATAAAATGCAGATTGGAATGGAACAGAAGGATGAAGTAGCATGAAATTAAAATGCCATGTAGAGTTTGGGAGATCTGATTATTCAGTTATTTGAGCGAGAAATCAGAAAAGCTGAAAATTATCCATTATTAATGAAATGTTTAAGATGCTATAACGAACCAATACATGGCAATTCTCTTAATGAATTGCATTGTTTTTCTCTCCATTTTGACATCTATTAATTGACAGTCGATTGCATAACTTAATTGCAATCGTAAGTTAACTTTTTACTCCAAAAGTTTTTTCTCCAGCAGGACAGAAATGCAGGAAAAACTTCTGGTCAATCATTGCTGCTTACTCGGTTTTTAAAGGAACAAATAAAATACAACAAACACAGGAATTGTGTCCACACAAACAAAGTCTGCTTTCTGCTGTTTTTCACTTAGAGCCAGGCTGTAAACCTGAGTTTTACTAGAATATGAGATGATTGTTGTGTCACAGTGACCTCAGATTACATGGAGACAATTTCTGTCTAAAACTGATTCACTTATTGATTCATTTACTGATGTGATACATCTTCAACTAACTGACAGTATTTCTCGACCTTCAACTGAATGGTAAGAAGAACTTGATGATAGTAAGAATTTCACAAATCTGATTAATGTGAAACTTTCAGGTCAGGGATTATCAGGCCTGTAGAAATCTGTTTTTTTTTGTGATTCTTGTTTTAGGTTTTAATAAGTAAAAGTGCAAAGAGTAAATCAGTTTTTCCTCTTCCAATTAAATCATTGTGAAGACGAGGACATAGAAATCCCTCTCCATACAGCAGCTAGGGCAGAATTCAACAGCAAAGCTTTCACTGAAACCATGGTCTAATCTGCCCCCCCCCCTTCTATTTTGGCTTTTGGTTAGATTTAGATTTTTCTGATGTGACAGTTAGCCCTGGCTGTCAGGGGCCAGAGACTTTGGATCAACCGGTTTGAGCAGCTTAGGCCAGCAGGATCACGCAATATATTTCACATCACGTCCCAAAAACATCTGATGAAGCTTTTTTTTTTTTACTTATTTCAATTGAATGAATACTTGACAATCGTTATTCACATTTCGATTGTTTCTTTCTTCGTATATTTCCTCAGATAAAGTCTGGAGATATTGTATTGTGTGACGGTTTCAACTCAACAAGGCATAAAATTTAAATTAGGACTTCAGCATATGAACTGCCCACTCTTCACTGTGTGACTGACTTTTTATAAGATGTAGCATCACATGAGTTTTATGTGTTTAAAATGTCATCTTATCCTGCTAAAGCCTCCATAGCTGCAGGAATAGTGTCCAGAGGGCTGTTTCATTATTCACTGGCAATGGAGCAACTCAAGGATTTGCGTCTTGCGTCATCACAGTCTTGTCTCTCTGTCAGATGTCACATATCAAGACTGGTGAAGAGTTCCAATAGTAACAGAAATCATTTAAGTTTTATGGTAGAATTAAGGAGGAATTAATGCAAATTTCAGATTATAGCTGGCAAACCATTATAAGCATGTAATCAAAGCCCTCTCAGGCTCCATGCATTGTACAAAGATTTATGTAGACACTGTACTGAGCCATGTTTGAAAAGTCAGTTTGATCTCCTTTTGTCTTTTGTTCACATTTGTGCCATCTAAAGCACAGCCAGACCTTCAGCAGTATAACTGTCAAACGCTACGGCATAATTACAATCAGGGCAGGAGGCGAAAATTAGTCAACTGGACCCACATTGAGGAAGGAAATTAGGTTTTAAGATCAAAACAATGCATCCAAATTATGGCTTTGTTTCTGCCAGTGCCAGAGTGAGACAAGAAAGACTCAGCAGCACAGCCAGCTATTGTTCATTCCCTATTCAAATCACACTGCAGCTGCAGAAAGCTCCTGGAGGTAATTCAGATTTCACTGATGACTTTCTATTCTTTAATAATGACTAATTAGTGAGATTAGTTGATTGTAAAGCTACTGACTTCAGCAGCTTTAGGGTACTGGTGGAATCTTTAGAGGGCAATAACATGGATTTGAAGAAATATAGTAGTTTAAAAATACTGGCTATCTGAAATGTTTAATTAAGGATGTGATGGCAGATACTTTTTTGGTTTATATGGGTTCTATAATATTGACACTAACTATGAGGGAAGAGCGTAAATGTACAGGACTGGCCCTATAATCGAACAAGTGATGGTAAGGTCTGTTCTCCCGTCTGTTAACCACCTCCAGCCCCTCATCGCCATCGTTTCTTTCTTCTCTCCTTGTTTCCACTACCCCCATAAGAGCCGCAATTCCTTTTAGCTGATCAGCATCCAACAAAAGTCGATAAAAATTGGAGACAAAGAATTGTCACCACTAATCTACACCCGTCTCATTCTCCTCTGCATCCTACATGTCTAATGTGTCATTCCTGTCTGATTCACACCTCTGTTCTTTCAAATATTTTCATCCCATCCTCTCTAACTTCACCTCTCTTGTCCCACACATTCTGCAGCTTCTGCATGGCATTGTTATTCTATTTAAGTTATTATCAGTGTCATCCGTGGCTGAGTCCACAGTGAACATTTTCCCACTCATCTGACTGTGCTGTTCTCTCTTTTCATACATTGGCTATTGTTCCATTTGCGCTTTCTGCAGCTGCCAAGCCTCATGCTGGTGATACCGCCTCTCAGCCTATCTCCTCTGTTATCCAAGTCCAACTGCTTGAAGAGGCTCACAAAGTGACATCAGCTCAAGCTCCCCCCAACCCTTCTGCCTTTAAAGTCATCTGTCAGTTTCCATGTGATTTTCTGCTCCTTGAGTACTTTGGCCCACAAAGGAAACCACTAGAAGTCAAACACCACAGCAGCAGGTGCATCTGACAACCTCTATTCCTATGGGGACGTAAACTGATAAGGCTAAGCTTCACTCTGAGTTTATAGCCAACAGCAATGCTCGAGAGGCATCTGTTAATACGCAGGCTGAGACGCAAGCTGTGAAGGAGATGCTTTGGCTTGCACCACTGTATCTGAGCTCATCGCGACTGAAAAAATAACCACAAGCCAGAATCCTGTGGCTTTTTTATCATCTCCAAACGCAGAAATGCCCTCAGTCCTCTGCTATTCCAATAATACTGTCAAAGCATATTTCATAAATGAGAAGATTTGTTTTTGATTAGTGAACGCCTGTCTCTTAAGTTTACATTTATACTTTCTCAGGGTCTTATTTATGCTGCCTCTAATCATTGTCTTGGAAGATCTCACATCGGTGTCACCATGACCAAGACTCCTTGATGGAGGCAGGGGTCAGGTAGAACTATATGAGTATTATTAGTACATATTTGGATGGGCAGTGAAGGGGGTACACATCATTAATCTCATATAAAACTAATATTCTCAACACTGACTGAATCAGGACAGGAGAAACACCTGCTTCATTCTCGGAAGATACAGACAACACGAACTGAAGAACTGACTGTTGCTTTGACCTTTCACATAGACAAGCTGTTTCTACACGAGCACATGATGCAGGCGATGCCACACATATACCTGCCAGTGGTTTCACTCTACGCCACAGATCTACAGGTAATAATAAATAAGGTTTTGATTATTGTAATTAAAAAAATTGCTACCAAATTTTGTATTGAGAATAATTTTCTATAATTCATAGGATACCTTTAAGTTTAATTTGACATACTTGTGTTTTACTTATTCCATGTTATTCCATGTTGTACTTTTAATTATTGTATATTTTCACAACATAAATAGTTAAGCTACCTTCTGATTAAAATTCAGTCTGAAAAAAAACAATTAAACTCCTTAACAGCAACCCCAATAACGCCTAATGTGTGTTACGTGATCAAAGTGCGAAGCAACGATTGCACTCCTATATCTATCAGGTAATAAATATTAATAATAACATACTTAGAGGAAATACAAATGTAGCAGGTAATATTGTTTAAAATTCTCACCATTGTTTTTAACATAGGAGTATAAAAATTGGTTGTTCTAACACACTGCATCCTCTACAACAGAATGCAACAGCCAAGAACGCACTATAATGGAAATGATAATTGGCAGATTGAGAGTGGGGTCATTCATTCATTCATTCATTATTCAACAATTTCCCTGAAGTTTGCACCAAAGGGATCAATAAAGTTCTATTCTATTCTATTCTATTCTTGATGAGAAACCAGTAACAGGTCACTTATCTGCGACATATAGAGGTGATGATGATGCTGCTTTTGGAATGTTAACATACACGCTACACTCTACCACTACACTGTGGCTCAGGTGGTAGAGCGAGTCGGAAGGTCAGCGGTTTGATTCCGCCCTGTAATCTGTGTTATGATCATTGTGTCCTTGGGCAAGACACTTCACCCACCTCGCCTGGTGTGAATGCGTATGAATGGATTGTTTGAGGTGGTGGTCAGAGGGGCCATAGGTGCAGAATGGCAGCCACGTCTCTGTCAGCTGTGGCTAGAATCATAGCTTACCGCCACCAGAATGAATGTGTGTGAATGAAAAATTGACAGTGAAAAGCGTCTTTGAGTGCCAAGCAAAGAGCTATATAAAGCTGATGAATTATTATGATTATTATTATTATTACAGGACTTGGTGAAGTTGGACATTTTGGGAGACAAGGTCACACTGTCAGACACATCCATCGGACTATCATGAGGCAGACTTGCTGTCACACCATGCTCTCTGAAAAAAAAACGTCTTAAATGACAAATGGGGGAGCTGGTGACATTCAAGTGTCTGGCTACGGCCCTAACTGACGTGTCAACAGCCCGTTCTCATCTGTCTCTTGTCATCTGTGGTATCAAGTCATTTGAATAAAGTTGCATTTTAGGGTGGCTTTTTATAGTCACAACAATGTCTGTGTGCTGGTCACACTGTCTGATTATCATCCTGACTAGGATGTGGACGAACACAAAAGCTCATAAACTTTTTGTGTGCACATTTGGCTATAACAAACCCTCTTCTATCTTCCATCCATCATCTGTACACCGCTTAATCCTCATTAGGGTCGCGGGGGGGCTGGAGTCTATCCCAGCTGACTTAGGGTGAAGGCAGGGGACACCCTGGACAGGTCACCAGTCCATCACAGGGCTACACTTAGAGACAGACAACCAAGCACACTCACATTCACACCTACGGACAATTTAGAATCACCAATTAACCTCAACATGTTTTTGGACTGTGGGAGGAAGCCGGAGAACCCGGAGAGAACCCACGCTGCACGGGGAGAACATGGAGACTCCACGCAGAAAGATTCCGGTGCCTCCACGCGAACCGGCAACCTTCTTGCTGCGAGGCAACAGTGCTACCAACTGCGCCACCTTGCAGCCCCTCTTCTATCTTATACCATAGAAATTAGATTTATTTGTAAGTAAAGTAAAGAGCTCAGTGTAATATTGAGAATGAGAATAATAATAATAATAATAGCCTCCTACACTTTAGTTATCTTATTGCTATAAAGTGCTTATCAAATATTACAGCAGAGTAGGGGACGGGCACAGAGAAAGTTAAAGGCAGAAATTAAAACTGTTCTTAAAGCCATCACAAAGACAAAAGTTGTACTGAGAGATTCAAAAGATGTCAGACACTCAGTTGTATCCTCTGTCCTCCTCAGACCGTGTGTCTGTGTCGTGGAGCTGTACGGCTGGTGGAGCTCTTGCGCTGTTCTGGGTCGCTGCTCCGTCTTTCTAGAATGATCTCCAGCGGCTCCGGCCTGCGGAGCGCCGTGCCCACGCTCTGAGCAGGCACGTCACGGGAGAACGAGGAAAACACGCGATGTTTGGAGGGACTCCAGCGCATCTGTTGTAAACCTTAGAGTTAACTGTTTAGGTTTCAGTGATCAGTTTTGCCGGGCACTGCTGCTAGGTAACGCTGTTGTCCATATCGTGGTGCGACGAGGGAGTTTAATTGCTAAAACAGTGAAGATGTAAGTCTGGGTTTTACTGTGCGGTCGTTGACGCGCGCTGCTAACTAGCCACAAGTCTCGTTAGTGTGGTATAATGCGGATCAACTAGCTAACGTTAGCTAACTGAGCTAGCACACGAGTTAGCACCAGCGGTGTAGCCATACTTAAAGACTGTCAAGGCTAAAATGCACGGCGTGTCGGTAAATAAACTGACAAATAACTTTCTGCCGGGCAAATATAACGTGGTACCACTGAGTCTAAACGCGTACTGCTGTGTTGTTTAGTTTACGCGCCTTGCAGCAGCTCAATTATCGTTAGCTAGCAGGCTAATGTCAGCCAACATGCCAAGGGTAAGGTTAGCACTGAAAAAGCATGGTGTCATGCTCGGAAGACTTCACTTTAAGCTAACGTGAGCTAACGCCAACCTTCATAGATTTGTTAGTGATTCTGAAGCTGCCCGTATTTCAATTAAAAATACTTGTCAGCGTGGTTCACATCTAAATAACTATACAGCTTCCTTAAATGTAGCTTTGCCTCTGTCCCTCGTAGTATGTTAATCTTTTTATTGCTTAATCATGTGTACTGTCTGCAATATGCTGTCACCAAGTGCATTATCGAGATTAAAAAGCTACTTGTTATATTTTCCTTGGAGAAACGTTGTGGGTTATAGACAAAGACATGTAGGATACTTGAGGTTGTCTTGCTAATTTGGAATGAATGAGTGACGCCTTCCTCAACATGACTCAAACGTGACCTCGAATGTACTGCACCCTATACACGTGGGCCACATGGGCAGAGTAACCGCCCCAACATTAGCAAGCAGGACACTCAGTTCCTGAATAATTACCATGTGAGATGAGAATAAAGCATGAATTGATTCTCCCAGTTTCACTTATTTCCTCTTTCTACTCCTTGTCACTAGGCAGCCTGCAACAGCTAAGTGGTATGACAGACGAGACTCTGTTTTTATAGAGTTCTGTGTGGAGGACAGTAAAGATGTGCAAGTAAAGTTCGACAAGTCAAAAATAGATTTCAGGTAAGTTACATGATGAGAATGTTTAATAGTTTATTAATTTGCAATAAATATTTCCCAGAAGCATCCTAAAGAAAGCCTTAAGATGCTTTATTGAAATGACCACCGATCAGTTGTATAGTGCTTGAACAGAATGACAAAAAGAAATATCACGACCTCTTTTCACCTCACATTTCAGCTGTGTCAGTGGAACAGATAATATCAAACACCAGAATGCAGTGGAACTTTTCGGGGAGATTGACCCTAAAGTAAGTTTGTCACCTGCAGACATAGTTGCAGTTCCACTATGCTTTTTTTTTATTATTCCTTCTAAGCTTTCATCAAATACTCTCTGTGACATACAGGACTCCAAACACAGACGCACAGACAGGTCTGTGTTGTGTTGTTTACGAAAAGCAGAATCTGGGAAGTCATGGCCACGACTTACCAAAGACAAGACAAAGGTAACTCCTTCTTAAAACAAATTTGTCTGTACACATATGTGAGGCAGTACAGTTGCTAATGTGTTAGAAATCAGAAACTGCCAGTTTAATTGCCATCATTCTGAGAATAAGTCTTACTAAGCAGTTCCCTCTTTTATGTAGTCTGCATATTGACATATATCACATCTGACAGCCTCATTCTGGTAATTATGATTAAACGCATAAAAATTCTTAGAGAATTCTGATAATGGAGCGTGCCGCCTGGAATAAACTGATGATAACTGATGTTATATGTTGCCTTATTGAAACAATTGAATCTACTTTCTCTTAGTGCAACTGGCTGAGTGTGGATTTCAATAACTGGAAAGACTGGGAAGATGACTCAGATGAGGATTTGTCAAGTTTTGACAAATTCTCGGAGGTAAGCATGCTGAACATGCAGCGTTTGAAGTGCAAGTGTGTTCAGATATATTGACATGTTGGTTGTCTTGTGTTCATTTCTGCAGATGATGAACAGCATGGGTGGGGATGATCTACCAGATTTAGATGGTGCAGAGGAAGAGGTACGATTTAAGTATTTCTTTTATATGGTTTATATGGTATTCTTTATTATAGACACAGATCTAGTCAAGTAGAAGTTACTGGGTTAAATGCCGTATGAACAATTTTAATTTTTGTTTTTGCAGCATGACTCTGCAGACAGCGACGATGAAAGTGAGTATTTTTCTAAAAGACGTGTCCTGTAATTGGTAATCTGTAGTCACTAGGTCCCAATAAATAATTTTCTTTAATGAAAATGGTAAGAGATGGTTCACATTTGGCATGCTGCGAAGCAATATGTATAGGTAATAGTCTGAGTATGGCTGTATTTCATGCATAAAGCCCATGGGAGCTAAGTCTGTATTGGGTTCATCACTTTTGTTTGCCATCAAGTACTGATTGTCATTTTAACTATTTGATGGATAACTTTGCTGATGATAGTGACTCAAATCTAATCACATGCTCACACATTTTTACCTTTGTCTGTCTTCCAGAAATGCCTGACCTTGAGTAGACAAACACGGATGCCACCTCAGTAGTTAATAAAACAAGTTATAAGTCGGTTGACGAGAGAGACTAGACATGAGTTGGCAGCCACATTGGAGGAGATCCTAATCGCTCTACGCAGTTTCCAAAGTGAAACCCCTCAAGGGAGTGACAGGGAGTGACTGTTGGATACAGACATGCACAGAGATCCATAGCGACATACAGTGCTGTGCTTTGCTGTTTTGTTCTGCATGGACAATTCTGTTCAAATGAAAATGTTATTGTTCATTGACTTAAATGACTGTAATGGGATGTGCTGATGTCTTACACCTTCTCTCTCTCTCTGTTTTTTTTTTTGTTTTGTTTTCTCTTTTTTTTTTTTGCGATGTCAGAGTATGTATTGAACGTTGTGATTTCTAATGAAAAAAAAAAAAACAACTTAAAATGCCTATTTTCCAAAAAAGTAGATTTTTTTAATGACAGATTTTTCCCTTTAATGTTTGTATTGTAAATTGCACTTATTTTTTTTGTTAATTTAAAAAGCAGGAGTTCCGCTTGAAATGGGTTTTTCTGATGTATGCCAACATCTGCAAATATTTAACAATAATTTCATTTTTTTTAAAAAAACATGTTTCAGCATTTAAAATAAACAGATATGCTTGTGCAACTTAAAGCTTATGTTGAGATTATGGTAATGGAGTGGTACAATATTTTCACATAGTCATACCTTTGCAAAGGTTAGCTTGTTTCTCCATGCCAGTATACAAAACATCGACATTGTAGCAGGTATGAAAATTAATTTTCTTCCATATATGTACTGAGGTGATGGCAGTAATCCTTTCTAGTCTACCAAGAGTTACCCAGACAGTTACAACAGGTTATAAATGTTTAACATATACACCAGAAAAATGCTTTGGAGGCTTGTGTGTTTGAATCAACGTGTTAAAAACTTTTGCGTTTGTCTTATGCTGTGGGTAAACATTTCTAATAAACTTAAACATTGAAGAAATACTGGTCACTGTAATTGTTCTCCTGCCTATACTGGCCACAAAGAGAAGCCTTTCCCACATTTCCGTTCTCACCAGCAAACTCAACAAACCCTGATCTGTGTAAAGATGTTCTCTAAAGTTCAGCTAAAGTGAATCTGAGGTTTTCACAGTGTTCTGTTTCCTTGGTGAGTTGTGGTAATGTCAGATGTGAATTTGATACAGAAATGAAAGTAGCTTTGGGAAATGAATTCTTAATTCTGCGAAGACAGACTTCATGGAAACTTCAGCTCAACTTAAAAAAGTGCATTTTTACACAGAACTCTTACTGTGGACTTCCAGTAGGGAGAAGTCTTTTAAAGGCCAATATTGAGAGGAGAAACAGCTGCAGCAACCTATAGCTCTTTAAACCTGCATACAAGCATGTATGAAGACAGCATTTGTAGAACTGCGGGTCTGTTCTTGAACCAATTTCAATGAAAATGTGAAACATGACTGTGACCGCTGTGTAGTGCCGACTACTTCACAGCACTCTACTTCTCTTTATGTTTCATCGGGGTGTTTCTGGGGTTTCCCAGCTCCTCTGCACTTTGACACTGACTACAAAAAGGGAAATGGAAACCTGGAATTCCCTTATGCTGTAATTTATAAAATGTTTGTACTTTTCCAAAAAAAAAAAACCTTGCAACTTCAGTACAAACACAGTCAGAAATAGATTACAAAGTTACTGTCTACCTACTCTTTATACGTTTGTGGTATTGAAAATATTTACCAGTCAGTGAAGGCTGTAGATGACTCATGATGATTCAGCCTTTTATTGACTGGTAATAAGTTTTAATACAGCAAAGGACAACATTAGATTGTTGTCACTAAGATGTCGAAAGGGTCCCTGTTTTGTGGTTTTAAAAGTTCTTAAAATGAAAGTCTGGTATCTAAATGGATTATTTTAGGGAAATACACAGAGGATTTTTGTAGTCGATACTGTATAAACCTTAAACTGTGCCATCTCCGGTGATCTGCAGTACGTGTTTTCACCACTGTGTGGTGAGCGCAGGCCAGAGCTCCTAATCCAGCTGAGATGTTTAGGGGCTGCATGTTATGTATGTGTCAGCAGTCTGGACCCAGAGAACAGGAAAACACAATGCAAGCATCTTTTCAACGCCCTCCCCTGTAAAACTAAACTGTGGGCTTAAACCCATAATGGGGGGCTTAGAGAGTCACGAGAAGGGCATAATACTCATCACAATAGAGATGCGCCCACTGGCAAATTATACTAATAAACTGTTAGGATCTGAACAGCAGTATTTAAAACGTTTTCTAAAGTTACTTTCTGCACAGCCACCAAAACTGTCCATCATACGAAACAGAACTTTAAAACTCAACTTGTCTTTGGGACAAACACATTTTTATAAGTATATTCTCTTTGCACAACTCCACTACAACTCTGGAACACCTACATCTATCTACCTATCTGTCTATCTATGGAAAAGCAAACTCACACTTTCAGTACTGATGGCAAGACAAACAGATCATAGAAACTAGCAGAAACTGTTACTGCCAGCATTTTGCTTCCATGCATGAAAGGAGAAAGGCAGTGAGCTCAGCATAATCCTTTCAGAGCACTGCAGCCATCCCTTTGGCTGCCCTGGTCAGCATGATGCTCCAGTGCAGATGATCAATGCCAGGCCTGCTCTCCCCTCTTCCTCTCCAACCGTGGATTTTCCACCGCTTTATCCAACCTGAGCCTCCAAACCAATCCAGCGCACACAATGTAAAACTCTGCCTAATCAGTTCTGCTGCCACAAACCTAATTTGTACGAATCCAGCTCACAAGTGGAGAAATTGAGAAATTGCTCGTGCTTCACGGATCGCGGCTTTGATTAGAGTAAATGCAGGCTGTGCATTAGAGGGGAGGCCATGAAAAGAAAATGATGGAGAATCATTGAGAAGATGACACTGTAATCACATTAATTGCTGCGCTTGTGAAAATATGAAAATTACTGGAAGCGAAGCAAAAGTTTATTGCACTCCACTTCCCTCTCACAGGTTTTGCCACCCACATGCCCACTGCTTTTCCATTTTCAGGTTTGCACTTTCTCAAGAGGGGGGTTCACAGTTACAGTTAATGAATGCTGGTTTCCCCCCCCTTTTCTCTGGGTTAATGTTTCAGTCAGCCTTAGGTGCTTGGTCTTCACCTCTTCCAGTAAATCCAGAGGTGTAGCTGAACCTCTAAAAAGCTGAAAAACACTGAGGAAGATGCTTTTAACCATTTATATTTAGCAGATGATTGCTGCATATGTTCAACCACCAGTCCATTGACTATTTCGTCTTTTTTAAACGTGCATCTTCTTAGTCAGGATTCGGTGGTTTTCACTCTGAGCAGAGGGAGGTCAAGGCAGTAGAAGGGTTAAATGACTTTGTTTTGATTTGTGGCATTGTGCGCTGACCCCTCCCCTGGGCTCTGTGGCACTGCTGTGGCCCTGGGGTGTTATAAAAAGGCCTCCGAGCTCCCCCTGCTCTGGTAAAGAGGCTGAATGTCTGCAGGACATGCTTAACGTTTGTCTATCCATGTTCTTCTACTAACAACCAGCGGGGTTGGCATTACATAGATGCACAGAGACTGGTGCACTGCTCCCCTCAGGAGCTCTCTATGACAGAAATCAGAACTCAGAAGGCAGAGCAGCAGAGAGAATTCACATGAGAGTTACAAGTTGAGCAGGTTGCGTGTCGTTGCATTTAGCTTTAGAGACACAGTTTTTGTTTGAGGGCACATTTTTGTCACTTGCTCTGTGTTTTTTGGTCTCAATCACAGTCGTTACTGTGGAGGAGCAGCTTCTCTTTTTAGCTGATTAGTTTCCGTGTTGACTTTTCATCCCTCCACGATTTTAGAAGCTGCTTTTTGACCTTTTGCCACCATGTGGGAGTTCAGGTCCATGTCGTTCTGGCGGGCGGTGTTCGCTGAGTTCTACGGCACCATGTTCTTTGTGTTCTTTGGGCTTGGGGCAGCCCTCCGCTGGACCACCGGGCCACACAATGTTCTTCATGTTGCCTTTTGCTTTGGGCTGGCGGCCGCCACCTTCATCCAGTCCATCGGCCACATCAGCGGAGGACACATCAACCCAGCCGTCACCTTTGCCTACCTGATTGGTTCTCAGATGTCCCTGTTCCGTGCTTTCTTCTACATCATGGCTCAGTGTCTCGGAGCGCTGGCTGGTGCTGCAGTGCTCTACGGAGTCACACCCAGCAACATGAGGGGAAACCTGGCGCTGAACACGGTAAGATCACCTTCAGGCACTCAAAGACACATCCATGACTACACTTACGTTGCTTCTAACTGTAGTGTTCACATTTTCACCTGCTCTGCTTCATATTAACACAATCAACAGGAGATTAAACAATGTAAAAAAAAGTATTTACACAAAACTAAATTGACAGTTCTGTCTGGAGACAATGAAAATGTGTGAATGTTTCCGCTCCTCACCAAAAAAGACATCTGAAATACAGATATGTCAGTTTACAATTCTGGTTGAAACTTCAAACCATGCATGTGAGTTTTGAGCTAATGTTCTTGCATAGTAAATTTCATCGCTCTTTCTTTTTAATCTTATCCAGCTGCAGCCCGGCATCAGCCTTGGCATGGCCACTACAATGGAGGTTTTCCTCACCCTTCAGCTTGTCGTCTGCATCTTCGCTGTGACAGACGAGAGGCGCAACGGACGCCTGGGCTCTGCTGCTCTGGCCATCGGCTTCTCTGTGCTCATGGGGCATCTTCTTGGGGTAAGAACCAGCGCAGGGACTTGAAATTTAAAGGCTTCCCTACAGGTTCATACAAACATCTGCATCATGTCACATCTGAACTACTGTCTCTGTCTGTGTCTTAGATGTACTACACTGGAGCAGGCATGAATCCAGCAAGGTCCTTCGCCCCAGCTGTCCTGGTCAGGAACTTTGTCAACCACTGGGTAAGATGATTCTATCTGTCAATATTTTACACTACAAATTACTGCAGGCCATATTAATGTGACGTCCTCAGACTCAACAACGCCTCTCTGTGTTTTCTGTTAGGTGTACTGGGTGGGGCCGATGATCGGTGGCGCCATGGGTGCCCTGCTGTATGACTTCATGCTGTTCCCTCGTATGCGCGGCCTCTCCGAGAGGCTCGCCACGCTGAAGGGCACTCGGTCCCCAGAGGCAGAAGGCCAGCAGGAGACCAGAGGAGAGCCCATCGAGCTCAAGACGCAGGCCCTATAAGCCTGGAGTAGGAGATCGGCTTTCTGACCCCCTCCTCTCCCCCTCTCCCATCCCTCACCCGTCACGCCTTCACTCTGCACCCTCAGTTCCTGGTCCATCCTCAGCCCACACACTGTTTTTGCACACATACCTCCTCCCCGCCTCCAAATATGCTAACACAGATCCCCAACACCTTTGTTATCCTTTTGTTCTGCATCCAGAACTGGACCTACTGCATCACAGTGAAGGGGCACCCGCAGCCCCCCGACCACCTTTCCTGATCTCACCTCTACCCCCTCCTCCACTCTCCTCCCCCCCTCGGAATGCAGGACAAAGATGGTGGGTTAGAAGAAGACTTGCCACTGAAGGAAGCACCCTGTGCCCTGTGGTGCGGGGAGTCAGTTGCTCCCGGCTGACCAGGTGGCTATAACTGCTCAGGACAGGGGCCGCTATCTCTATCTTTCCTTCCCTTTCTCTCTCTTTCTGTTGTTTTTTTTTTCCTCTCTCCCTATTTTGTAGTCTGCTAGGAGTGAAGCTACAGTAGAGCAGTGGACTTCTGCATGCTTTTCCATTTTGATCCAGTTTGATCTCGCCCTTTGTTTGTTTTGTTTCATGAACTTTGGGTAAATTACATGTAGGTATTGTACTTTACCAGTATTTATTTGGCTTTTTTTTTTTTAGTTGTATGTGTGTGTGTGTGTGTGTGTGTGTGTGTGTGTGTGTGTGCGTGTGCATGTGTGTTTGATAGCGAGAGAGAGAAAGACACGAGTGAGTGTGCATGCATGTCTGTGTGCATGTGTATGCTTGTGTGCTTGTTTTAATTGATCAATTTTATTTTTCTCTTTTCATTGCCACAATCCTTTGTCTGTATCATGATTTTTTTTTTTTGATTCATCATGCAAGCTTATTTTAGGGAAAGATGCTGCCTTTTCCTTGCCCTCACTGATACTGCAAAAGTTTAATACACAAATTCAACAAATTCCATGTTTAGCGTGATCCCATTTTTATATCAGATTAAAAGAATATATGCATTTGAGTCACGTCTTAAAACCAAAATCAAACAGTTCAGAGTCTGTCTCATCTAGTGAAGCGCACACACATTCATATTTATATTAAAATAGACGACAACAAAAAAAACACAAAACTATCTGGTCTTTTCTGAGCTCAGTCTTCATCAAAGTTGCAATTACAAATACTTAAAAATGGTACCATTGCACCCAGACCTGTTACCCACTGTGGGAGATATGCAGGTTTGTACCACCTTTTAATAACTTATACAGTATTTGTGTTGGGTTACTGACATATTTTTGTCGCCAAAGCTTTAGAGCAGCGTTTATCACAAATTCATGTACAGGTGTGTAATATTTGGTTTGCTTTTACTTTTGCGTGCCTGCCATGGAAAAACAAAGAGAGCAAACCTGACGAGCTGTCATAAGGAACAAGCGTTTTCTAGTTGAATTGTGTTGTTTGACATGACTGAAGGGTCTTTGTACATCAACTCAAGGTTAGAAATGAAAGAGTGCATGAGGTGTGATGGCTTCTTGCTAGTGTTGGCAAACACCTTCTCTTTTCTGGACTGAGCTGGGTGGCTCTTTGGGAGTGAGATAGTTTCACTTGACAAGGACCTCTTTGATATTTTGGGAGAAGAGCGAAGGTCATCGCAAGGCGACTGAAATCTTTAGTGTGTTTGTACAGGGTGGTAGACGTACACCTTTATTTTCAAACAGTCTACACAAGAGAGAATGAACTTTGAAGTTGAACTGGCCTAGTGTCCCCTCTCTCCTCCATCCCTCCTTCACTCACCCTACCTCCTCCCTTTGTTTACGAGGCAGCCATCTTGTTCTGCTCTAATGAGGGGACATCCACAGCTGCTGGGATGGAGGGAAGGGCACAGGGGCACTGAGATAAGTTAGTATTTTACAAATTTCTCCCGAGCAGTTGTTGAACCAGATATGTAAGCTGATTCTCTCTCTGCTTCCTCTACATAACCTTTTTTTTCCGTGTGATTTCCCTGGCAGTGGTTGAGTAGAATTTACATTTTAATGACATGTTGAAATTAGAATTTGTTTTCTAATGGAAAAGCTTTGTGATGTACAGTGTAAAGTTTTCTTTTTTTTTTTAAAAAAAACCCCAACATTTCATGATTGTTGAAACTGGATGGATAGGAAATATGACATGCTAGTTACACAATGTCTCTTCTTTGGCTGATGGATTATGGAAGTGATGCCAATGATGTTCTACATCAATATGCTTTAATTCAATGGACAGCCTTCTTGGCAACAGGCATACCTTCCCGATCAAAATGCCATTGATTTATTATTTTTATATGTCAAAAAAAAAATCTGAAAATTCTCAAGTTTTCAATTCCTTTTTGTCTATTTTCTTTTAGACGCACTGTAGAAAAATAAATAGATGATTCCAGACAGGACAGATCCGACATATTGACATATTACACTTCTGACACGTCAACCTAGCATCCACTTACATCAACAAATCAGATGAGGTTACATATGTGATACCACACAGGCAGTGAAAGTTGAAATTCATCTGTCTGCAGCTGCTTGTATAGAAAACAATCCTCTATGTGCAGTGTTTTCAAATTTGCCACAAAGAGCTGTGTTATTAGTGAATCTTGACTTGAGGGAAATGACCAATTTCTTGTAAATAAATTTACACAAATATTTTGGATATTTCGAGAAAAACTGCAGTTTTATTTGTGACCACAGTGAAAGATGGATTGTAGTAGTAGCATCAGGTTCATTTATCCAAAAGTCGGTGTAAGAGTTCTAAAAGGTCGAGGAAGCGTATATGCAACATGCAACATCCAACGCACTGTTTCATTATTACATGCATGACGCTGACAGTGACAGTAGGTCGTGCAAAACTGATTTGATGGACATCATTCAGAATAAGACTTCCACAGAGCAAAGACACCCTAACCCCATTTTAGAATATAGCTTTACTGTGATGTTTCCTTTAAACTGCAGAGGTACTTTACTTTTCATCTTTTGCTATATCCCTAGCTGCTATTTCAATATTTAAAACCATACCCAAAAAACATACAAAATTGCAAATATACATATGATGTGATACTTAAAGGTGGAGTATGCGATTCTCAATCAATAAACTTCATGTCAAATGCGGTTAATAATTCCTCACAGTTCGTACACAGAAACAAACCATCTTTCTCCAGACTCCACCTTTAAATCAACATGACAATAATTAAAAATAAGATCTAAGTTTAGAATTTATGTTCCAGCATCAAGGGATGGCAGACGTAAAAATATCCTTTTATTTTATTTTTTTTCAAATCACAGTTTTATCAGTCTCATGTTGTTTTTTGCTTGTTTGTATTAGGGTTCACCATTTTAACAATTAGGGAGTTGAGGGAGGGGGAGAAAACAATACCGACAAAGATTAACCTTGCTGTAAGTATATTGATATAAAAGTTAACACAACTGAGTCTTTCGGTAATAGCGATATAAGCTTTACCCTCCACCATCACCACGTCTGCCTTCTAGAAGTGGAAGAGCATTGCAAGTGTCCATCAGTGTGGTATAATTTCACAGTTAACAGTGATGGAAAAGCTTAATGTTTCCTTTGTGTTCCTAATTTTCATTGTAGCGGAAAGCAAGTTATGTCCACAAACTCTGCTTGACCCACAGCTGAGTATTTACCATGCATAATGAGTATCACTGAGTGTACAATATACTATGACTGAAGTTATATACATTATGGAAATACTATTGAAATATGCTTGATTCATCATCACTAAAAAATACAGAACAAGCACAGAGGACAACATGCAACATATTTCATGCTTTGTTGTTGGAAAAGCACTGTAATCTGTACAGTAGTTTGCTTATTCTCCTAAACAAAAGTAGAGTAAGTAAAACAAATCAACACTGACAAATCTTACCACCAGGTGAGAGAAACAAAAGGTTCTTGGAGACGTGCACAACAAGGCGCTGATGTTGTGACCGCGTTTTCCTTATTGTTTGTTCTCAGTTCTGCTTCATCCTCAAAATGATCTCCTGCTTTCTCGTAGCACCACCTCAGCATGTTGAGTCCCATAGAAATCATATTTGTCTCCCATAAGTTTTTCACTCAAAAGTAGATGAAACTGTAGATACTGAAAGAAGAACCTCTGCTCAGACAAGGGCACTTCTGTCACATGAAGGTAAGGCAGATGAGTTTGGCTTCAGTCCCTATTTGACGTCTGCTGTGCACTCCAAAAACAGCTGATGGGAACTCTGTCTAAGAGCTCAGAGTCTCGATAATGCTGTCCAAATCCATGCTGACCAAATCGTTGCCTTGAGAACTGGAAAGACAGACACGTGACCACAATCAGCTCCTTATGCAGTACAAACCTATGTTTGGAGAAATCAAACAAGGATTTAATACACAGACATTAAGAGGAAAAACGTACATGTGGTGAGGGCTACTGGTAGATTCCATTATTTCTTGAGGGATGTCCGGTGAGTCGAACGGTGATGAGAATGGATGCCTGAAAAAACAGTAAGAGCAGAAGAATGAATGAATGAATGAATAAATAAAAAAGCACTGCACTCCTAGTTCACTCTTTCAACATTTTTTTTTTTTA